TAACAAACTCTAACACTACAGTTCTTGAGATTCAGATTGATTTAGTCTACTGATCTATAACTTATGTGCTTACAAACATCATCTTGAATTCCTACGTTAATGGATTTCTACGTTTATTTGCAGAGTAAAGTTAAAGGAAATTAAGTTTCAGAAAGGGAGGGTAGTACGGGAGTCTGGGGAACCGAAAAGCATAAATTTCAGGAATGAAGTAACGATGGGCCCTGAGAAATCTTAAAGGAGTTTTAATAATTGAGAGAATGATAGAATTCCTAGGACAAGCAGGCATTTCTGGAATGGAGGAAACGATGACGATTTTGGGAAGCACAGCAAGCAAGAGTTTTATGGAGAACTTTATGGGAGCAGAAATCTGGCAAGCAGTAACCTCAGAAATGAAGGGAGTGATGAGTCCTGGAATGCAACAAGAATGGAGGGAACAGTGGGAGTCCTAGAAAATTGACAACCGGGAGTCTCGGGAATGGAAGGAACGAAAGGGATTGTGGAAAGTCCACTAAGCAGTGATATAAAACTGTAGACAACGAGAAATTGCAGGAATGGAAAGAGTGAGGGAGCTTGGGAAATCTCGTATGTATAAAATCAAGAATGAAGGGACGATGGGAAGCCAGAGATTGTGTGAAGAGGAATTCAAGAATGTGCGGAGCAAGGGGATCCACCTAAAAGGTGAGGTTAAAGAAGGAGAGAAGAGGAGAGTTAAGGAGGTCTAAAAAGAGAAACGTTAAGAATAGGAGGATAATGGGAATCTGTGAAGTCTGACAAACAAGTCTTGGTAGAGGAATGAAATTCGAGGGCCAAACAGATTTAGTGAACGAAAGTAACGAAATGTAAGGGATGATTCACGCTACGAAATATATTGGTCGTGAACTGGGTTTTTTGACTTTTTTGATAAAAGTTTGTGGAATCTGCGCACATGCGTATCATTGCGCTTACTACTATTTTATGACCAATTAAAGGGACTTTTTCCATTCATTTCATTGATTTACTATTCTTCTCACCTGTCGGGCTGCAAATTGCAAGTGCTTGTTATCGTGTTGATTACGGTTATGACGACTTT